TCCGCGGTGGCCGCGCGGACCTCGGGTGGCCCACCCACTTCGCTCGCGCGAACAACAGAGGGCCCCTCCCCGCGCGCGCGCGAACTCGCGCGCAGATTTCTGCGACGCGAACAATGATCAAGTTGCTCTGTTGGCGCGGGAGCGAGCGCGATCTTTCATCGGTTGCCGAGCGGGTTTCGGGCGACCCGCCCGATTCACCGAGCGTGGAGAATGGAGAATCATCCATGTTCGCGCGCGGCCTACGCAAGAACAGACGCTCTGCTGACCTGGGCACTAAGGTGGACCCTTAATTGTGGCCGAGCGGATTTCGGATGCCCAACCAAGCTTGTCTAGTGCGAGCGACGCTGAATCACCCACGCGCGCGCGTGCCCGCGCGGTGGCTTCTGCGCAGTCCATGATTGAAAAAGACCCCGTTGGCTTGGGCGCGGAATTGAACCTTGATGCGGTGGCCCTTCGGGCTCCGGGTGACCCGCGCGACTTGTTTAGCGCGGGCAACGCAGAATTCTCCACGCGCGTGTGCGTGCCCGAGCGGAGAGCTTCGCATTGTGCATGATCGAAAGTCACCCTCCTTGGGAAGCGCAATGAATCCTGAATGGTGACCGAGCGGATTCCGGGCGACCCGCCCGTTTCGTCGAGTGCGAACCTTGCAAGATTCAGCATGCTCGCGCGCGCCCGCGCGGAAAGTTTTGCATTTCCGAGAATGCAATGTCATCCTGTCGGTTTGGGAACTACAACACATCTTCAACGGTGGCGGAGAGGATGTCGGGTTACCCGCGCGACTCGTCCAGCGTGGACAGTGCGGTATTTTCAGCGCGCGCGTTCGCGTGGAGGGTTTTGTATCGCCCGCAATACATGGTTACCCTGTTCGGTAGGAAATTTACGTGAGCGGTGGCCGAGCGGATTCCGGTTGACCCGTCCGATCAGTCCAGCGTTGGCAACGCAGGGCTCCCCACGCGCGCGCATCCGCGAGGGGGGAATTTGTTTTGTTCATACTGGAAAGTCAACTTGTTGGTTCTGGAAACTAAACATGAACTTTGACGGTGGCCGAGTCTGTCTCTTGACGCAAACCAGATTGTTCCACGCGCTCGCGCCCGGGTGGAAGGTTTTGCAGTGCCAGGGATAGAAGGTCACTTTGTTGGCTTGGAAACTTTAGCGAACCCTGAGTGGTGACCGAGCGGATGTCGGGTGACCCTCTCGATGTGTCTAGTGCTGCCAAGACAGAAGCCGCCAAGCTCGCGCGCGCATCCGCGCGGATAATTTTTTGTTTGCGACAGAATGGCAGCCTGTTTGCGACTGCTAGCTTGGGGGTCGTAGTGAACGCTCAACGGCGACAGCGGATGTCGGGCGACCCCCCCGGCTTGTCTAGCGCGGGCAATGCGCGGGCAATGCAGAATTTCTTTCGCGAGCGCGCACCCGCGTGGAGATTTCTGTCGTCTCCACGAGACAGCCACCCTGTTAGCATGGACATTGAAATAAACTCTCAGCGGTGGCCAGGCTGGTTCTGGGCGACCCGACCGACATTTTTCTCCGCGCGCGCGTGCGCGTACCAGCGTGTAGGCGATTGCATTCTACTGTATAAAGGCCCCCATTGTTGGTTTGAAGGCTACAGTAGATTTATAAAGATGACCGAGCGGATTTCGGGAGACACGCCCGGCTTGTCTAACATGATCCGTGCAGAGTTCTCCACGCTTAGGCGCGCGCGTACGTGGAGAGTTCTATTTCGTCTACAATAAGGCATTGCCCTGGTGGCAGGGAAGTTAAAAAGGGCCCATGACGATGACCGAGCGGATTTCGAGTGACCCGCCCGACTTGTTGATTGTGGGGGCCGCAGAACTTTCCGCGCGTGCGCGCGTACCTGCGTGGATTGATCTGCATTGCCCACAATCGAAAGTCATGTTGTTGGCTTGGGAACTACGGCAGGCCCCTAACGCTGACAGAACGAATGTCGGGTTACCCGCCCGACTCGCCTAGCGTGGGCAACGCGAAACTCTCCGCGCGTGTTTGCGCACCCACGTGGGGAGGTCTGTTTTGTCCACAGTAGGAAGTCACCTTCGCAGCTTGGGAACTCAGGCATCGATGGCTGGGCGGATTCTGGGTGACGCGCCCGACTTGCCCCGCGTGGGCGACGCAACGCACTCCACTTTCGCGCGCGTGCTCGCGTGGAGCGTTCTGCTTTGTCGGCGATGAAAAGTCACCCTGTTGGCTTAGAAACTATTGCGAAACCCTAACGGTCACCGAGTGGATTTTGGGTGACCCGCCCGACTTATATATTTAGCGTGGGCAATTCAGAGTTCTCCGTGCGCCCGCGCGTATTTTTGTAAAGAATTTGAGATCTTCCGCAATATGAAGCCACCTTGTCGGCTGAATTATTGTTTCGGTTCCGAACGGTGACTGGCGGATTTCGGGTGGCCCGCACAATTTGTCTGGCGTGGACAATGCAGAACATGGTCTTCGATCGCAAGCCACGGTCGCCGATCGGATTTCGGATGATCCGCGCGACTTGTCTAGTATGCAGAAGACAAAATTCCCCACGCGCGCTCGAGTACCCGCGTGAAGAGTTCTGACTTATCCACAATCAGACATCACACTGCTGGCTTGCAAGTTGAAGTGCGCCCTTCAGGGGGCCCAAGCGAATTTCGGGTGGCAATGCGTGGGCGATGCAGAACTTCCAACGCGTGCGTACCCGCGTGGAATGTTTTTGCATTGCCCACAACAGACACCTTGTTGGCTTGGACACAGAAGGAGCTCGTAACGTTGGCCGAACGAATTTATGATGACCCGCCCGACTGGTCTGTCTACAATGTAGAATTGTCCATTCGTGCGCGTGCGCGCGCGGAGGGTTTCGCATTTTCCACCGTGCAAGGTAACCTGTTGGCTTGGAAGCTAGAGTGGTTCCTGAGCGACGACCGGGCGAATTGTGGGTGATCCGCCGGACTTTTCGAGTGCGGACAATGCGCGCTCGCGCCCGTTTGGAAGTTTTTTGCCGCGTGGACAATGCACTGTCACCCTGTCGTCTTGGAAGCTAAAGTGGTCCTTTAGCGGTGGCCGAGCGGATTTCAGGTAACCCGCCCCGTTTCTCGGGTTTTGACAGAAGAAAACTCTTTCCATGCGCGCGCGTACCAGCGTGTTTTTTTTTTGTGTTCCCCAGAACAGCACGCCACTTTTTTGGCTTGGGAACAAACGTGAGCCTTTCAGGGTGGCCAAGCTGATGTCGGGCAACCCGCCCGACTTGTTGGGTTAGACGCAACTCTTCACGCGCGCGCGTACCGCGTGGATATTTCTGTTCTGACCGCAATACAACGTCGCATTCTGGGTTGGGAAACTAGAGTGAACCTTCAGTGGTGGCCGAGCGGATTTCGGGTGATCCGCCTGGTATGGACAGGACGGGCAATACAAGGCTAGCTCTTCACGTTCGCGCGTACCCGCGTGGAGGGTCTTGTTGTGTACACACTTAAGAGTCACCCTGCTGGCTAGGAAACTACATTGAATCTTTAACGGTGACCGATCAGATTGCGTGTGTCCCGCTAGACTTGTCAACTGCGGACCATAGATTTCCCCACGCGCGCGAGTACCCGTAGAGTTTTGCATTGTCCGCAATCAAACGTCCCCCCGTTGGTTTGGGAACCAAATAAATCCTCAGCGGTGGCCGAGCGGATTTCGGGTAACCCGCCCGTATGCGCGCATACCCGCATCAAGAATTCTGTTTTGCCTAGAACAAACAGTCACCCTGTTGCTTGGGAAAGTGAAATGAGCCCTTCTCGGTGGCCGAGCTGATTTCGGTTGACCCGCCCCGCTTGTCCAGTGTGGGCAATACTGACCTCTCCACTCGCGCGCGCGTGTCCGCGTGAAGAATTTTGTATCGTCCACAATCGAACGTCGCCGTGTTGGTTTGGGAATTAGAAAGAACCCATAACGGTGACCGAGCAGTTTTCCGGGTGACTCGCCCGACTGCCCTAGTGCGTACAATGCAAAACTCTTTATTCGCACGCGCGCGAACCCGCGTGAGAAACCGGTTGCGTTGCCCGCAGCAGGACGTCACCCTGTTAGCCTGCATAACTAAAATGTGTCCTTGACGGTGGCCGGGCGGATGCTTGATAACCCGCCTGCCTAGTCTAAAGTGGACAATACATAATGTTCAAAACGCGCGCGTACCCGCGTGTAGGGTTGTTTGATCCACAATAGAAAATTGCTTTGTTGGCTTGGATACCCAAATGCACCCGCAACGGTGACCGAGCGGATTTTGGGCAACCCGCGCGGGAGTCTCGATCCACACCAGAGCGGAGGCCGTGTCAGGTGTGGCGTCTTTGGCCCAGAGAGGGTGCGCAGGGGAAGGTCCCTGAGCGCGGTCCCTGTCCAGGCCAGTGCTGCAGGGCGTGGCGGGCGCGGCCTGACGGCAAAAAGGGGCGCGCAGGGCGCGGTGAAGCGCTGGATCTTTTTTGTTAAAGTGTCTTCCTTGAGTCATGTTTGAAACATTGTGTTTAACATTACCTCCTCCTTCCCTCCCCCCCTCCCTCCCCCCATCCGTTTTCCGTTTCCCTTCTCTCCCCTTGCCCTCTCATTTCTTGGGTCGTTTGGGGCCGCATTGCCGACGAGATTTTCTGGGAAGTTCGAAACCTTGTCCAGCACCACCCTGGCTACCCTCTCTCCCCGTCCTCCAAAACAGCAACATTCACCTGTCACCCAAGGGGCCGGCGAGTTTAGATGCACGACGCATTTGCCGATGGAGATGCACGAAATGATGTAGATTTGCATGCGAAGTGTTCGTGTTGATAGTGGGGTCCGAAGTTTGCAGTTACTTTCATTGCCTAGGATCGAAGAATTTGTTCAAGGAGGCGCTCTGGAGAGGTCCAGGTGCGGGTACCGAAGCTGAGCGGATGCTGGTCGGTACGAACATACGTAAGAATAACATCTTTCGTCTGCGTCCCCATAGCGTCTTGGCTCAGGTTGTGTTTCAAACACATACGCACACGCACCCAGGATAGCCGCGTCCTGCTCAAACCATGCGGTTTTCGGCGGCCTTCCTCTTCGTGTTCTTCAGCTACGCTGCCCAGCCAGCCAGCTCCCTGTCTGCTGACGAATCGTGGCCCTGGTCCAAGAAGAAGGTCGAGCCGGCCCCCGTGCAGAAAGTCGAGCCGGCCCCGCGGTCCGCGGAGGACTTGCTCGAGGAGCTTGCCGGGCCGGGGTGCTACATGCGCATGCAGTCAGGGTGCCCCAAGGCGCCCATGCGGACCGAGCTGTGGAGGCACGACGCGTGGGCTGAGCGGGAGGGCGTCGACGCGGCGGGGTGCCAGCTGCGCAAGCCAGTCTGGGACAAGTACTGCAACTCGAGCGACGCGCAGATGGCATTCGTCGCCGACAAGAACCGCACGCAATGATGGCGTTCCCTCCCATCAGTGAGCGCTCCTGTTCCACACTTTTGAACCGCTCAGCGGTCGGCTGCCCCACCTCACGGGAGGCAGATCTTTTGTACATATTAATTTTCTTTGTATGGCCGCTCGCAAAAAAATACTGGACTCGTCAACCCTGGCCCCACAGCAACCCAACGCTAAGCACATAGTTTTAATGCCTGCACAAGGGGTGCATACTATTTGCAAGTACATGTTGAACATCTGTGCAACGAGTGTTGTGACCGTATCTACAGATCAACAGTTGTTAGCCCTATCATTCACATTACTCTTCACTTATCCTCATACGGGAAAGTAAATCCTTGACCCCCCTCCCTTTACATGTAGTCTTTTTGCCCCATCCAGACATCGAAACACATGGTTGATTTCGCAGACGGAACTCCATATGGACCAACATTCCCCCCAAGACAGCCCAAGACCAGCCTGGAAGAATCCCAAGAGGATCCCAAGATAGAACGACAGCCCCACCCAGGAGATTCCGAAGACGGCCCGACTCCCCCCCATATATTGCTCCAAGGTGGCCCCAAGATCCGCCGAGACGGCCCAATATGGGCCAACGGTACGGACTGCAACATAGTGGCGTTGCTTCCTGTGTTGACCCAGGATGTTTTTTACCGGGCCTGCAGAACAGCTCGGCAGAACCATCCAGGATGCATGTCGTTGTTGCGCTGGCACGGTGGCGTGGTTGATTGAAAGCAGGACACGTTCTGCGGATTGCTGGCGCGGAGAAATAAATCGCGGTATTAAGCATTGCGACCTAGGCGAACAAGTACCACCAGCCCAGTCCCAAGTGACTCCCCAGATGCCCCCAACAGGTCCCAGCAAGTTTCTAGCAGATTGCTTCGACTAGTTGCCAACGCAACAACTAAGCACAGTTAAGGCCTGCCTGCCTCGCTGCAGCATCGAGGCGCTACCTCCCATACTGACCCATGAGTGTCATGTCCAGGCTTTGGATGAACTCGACAGAGCCAGCCAAGTGAGCGTTTTTTTTTCGGCGTTTCGGCATCGGGCGGCAAGGGGGGGGAGGGAGGGGTCTGGCTCCACACCTCTGCTTAGTGCGAGTGTTTTCAAGAGTGCGGCCTCTGGGGGAGACTCCACTCGCTCAAAACAGGCGCCAAACAACTGCCATGATCTACTCCATGAGGGGGGGGTAGGGGCGTTTGGGGGCCCGCGCCGATCGGCAAAGCAATGAATGAAACAACGATCACCAACATGCATATCGATCAAACTTGTTACATCATTGACTTATTGAATCGCTTCGCTCATTCCGCCGGCCCGTATTTTGCCATCGGTGGCGCTTGCCAGCGCGTTCGTTGCTCATGCGGCGCTGTTTGACAGTGTTTTTCTTCCTGGAGGTGTGGCGACAGCAGGCATGGATGCGAAGTAGTTGCTTTGGAGCTTGTCGTAGGGGTTCTGGCCTCTCCTGCTCACCGACATGGCTAGGTTGTGGGTCAGGAGCCACGCTTCAGAGCCCTCGGCAGCAACTACATGGGTAGCCCCGCGAGCGCCTGGGACAGCCGAGAAATTGTGCTATGGGGCCATTGACAGTATGTACTGCTCAGGAGTTTGGGGGACCGGGTGACGTTTCGTGTAGAAAGATATAGATAGTAGTGCCGCCGCTCATCGGTTCTGACATAACCGTCATCCCAATTATCCCCACTACCCGCTGACAATCAATTGACATCGAATTGCCTCTGCGAGTCATGTGGTCAGCCAACTTCGTTCCAACGAATTGCAGGCCGCAATCACAATACATGGCAATTGACTGCATGTTTGCCTCGTTATGCACTGTTCGCCGACACGGTGAGCGAGCCGTTGTTACACGCGCTTTGGTCAAAGAGTGAACGGGCAGGGCCTGTAGCCTGGCTCAAGGCGTTGCCCCCGATCCGTTTTCCTCTGCAGCCGCTTGCCAGTGGCAGCACCAGTGGTGCTCCTATGGGACATCGCGTCAGCTGTCTCGATCCATGCTGAATCCCAAGTACGACGTCCTCGATGTGAGGTACAGCGACGGCAGCCCTGCCGTCCTGCGGCACGTCGACGGCACCGGTTGTGCCTACTACGCTTCGGGCCGGCGTGCGATCTGCGTCTCCGCCTGCGGCCTGAACGCCCTGGGCGAGGCCCGGCGGTTCAGCGCCGTCGTGCACGGCGACACGCCGAAGTGCCCCCTGCTCGGCGTCATCGACGAGTGGGGCCGTGGCTACCTCGACGGGCTGCAGGGCCCGCAGGAGAGGCAGCCGCCGAAGGTGCTGCTCACCGACCAGGGGATCACGCTGATCGATGGCAACGGCGTCGCGAAGGAGATACCCGGCGGCGGCGGTGCAGGCGCCACTCCTGGAGCCGCAACGGCGCCCGAGACGGCGTTCAAGGTGGCGGAGGCCATCATGCTGAGGCACGTCCTCGGGCGCACAACGCTGGACTTCCAGTCCAAAGGGGTCAGCCATACCTTCGCGCTGGGGGAGCTGCGTTGCCAGGACGTCCCGGGCCTGTCGCTCAGGGGTTCGGCCAGCCTGCCCGAGAACAAGGACCTGCAGGCGACGAAGAAGCTGCTGGCTGGTGTTCAAGAGAGGGTGAAGGCGATCAAGGTCGAGACGGGCCAGAAGGACAGAAAGCCTCCCTTCACGCTGGATACCAGCAATCTGCAGGAGGTGCTGGACAATCTGGCGACCCTGCCGCAGAAGCTCCACCGAGAGCCGATGGCGCCCGTGAACCTGGAGTGGCGCACAGAGCTGAGGCTCAGGGAGCTCCTGTCCGAGGCGCACCCGCAGTGCCCCGGCATCAAGGACCAGCACAACTGGACCATCCACCGGGTGGGCGGCCGCGCGAGCCTGGAGAGGCTCGAGAAGGTGAAGCCGACGGTGCAGACGCCGAAGACCATCCCGCTGGTCAAGGGCGAGAAGCTCCAGGAGCTGATCGACGACTGCGCCGCCAAGGCCTTGGCATCGCTTGGACGTGTGCATGTTTCCTTCGGCGAGGACCATCGAGGAGCATCCTTGATCATTTGGCGAAAAAAACCACGCACGAAACCATCAAAAACACAGGGAATGGACGTCCGAGCGATGGCCAGAGGGCACCCTCCTGGTGGTGGTCTGCACCGCGACCTGGGCCCGCGAGCAGAGCGGCCACGCCCAGCTGCTGGCGGAGAAGGTGCACGCCGAGCTCCTGCGCAGGATGGCCGAGTCGCAGCGCTGCCCGCGCTTCGCCGCCCTGGAGCTCACCGACGGTGGCGGGGCCGTGGCGCGGTACAACGTCAAGGACCAGCGGAGGAGGAGGAGGAGGAGGAGGAGGAGGAGGAGGAGGAGGAGGAGGGAGCGAGCGAGCGAGCGAGCGAGCGAGCGAGGAGCGAGAGAGGAGGCGAGCGAGCAGCGAGAGAGGAGGAGGAGCCTCGAGGAGCGAGCGAGGAGCGAGGAGGAGGAGGAGGAGCGAGCGAGGAGGGAGCGAGGGAGCGAGCGAGGAGGAGGAGGAGGAGGACAGGTGGCTGCACGTCGACGACGTTCTACTGCCACGAGAGTGAGTGAGTCAGTGAGTGAGTGAGTGAGTGAGTGAGTGAGTGAGTGAGTGAGTGAGTGAGTGAGTGAGTGAGTGAGTGAGTGAGGAGGAGGAGGGGGAGGACGAGGAGGAGAACGAGGAGGAGGAGGAGAACGAGGAGGAGGAGGAGGAGCGAGCGAGGAGGAGGAGGAGGAGGAGGAGGAGGGGAGAGGGAGGAGGAGGAGGAACGAGGAGGAGGAGGAGGAGGTACCGATGCCGCCACCCGTCCCCCGTTGCGACGGCTGGCTTCGGCTCGAAATTGCCGTCCGAGCGCACCGCGGGAGAGGTCCTGGGAGTGGCAGCAATTGGTGCCCCTCAGTCCCCCCAGAGGAGGTGCCCCATTGCTTGATGTTCCAGGGCGGCTCGCTGGTGCACTCGAAGCGGATGCGCGGCACAAAGGACCTCCGCGACGTGCGCGACGCAGAGCTCACGCGGCCTAGGGCGCTGCTTGTGGAGCCCAGTCCGGCGCAGCAGCTGAAGCTGGAGCGCTCTGTGCGACGGGCAGGATGCAGCTCCGACCTCGCCTTCGATGCGCCCCACGCGCTCCGGCTCGCCTCGCAGCAGGCCTACGGCGTGCTGTTTTTTTCCGCGCAGCTGGCCCCGGAGCAGCTGAAGAGTGTGGCGGCGGAGGTGCGGCACCGCACGCCTCACGCGGTGCTCTTGGCGTACAACGCGGCGCTGCGGGCCCCGGAGAGCCAGCACCCTACGCAGAGGAAGGAGCTTCTGGAGGACTGCTCGGACACGTTCCCGTTCGTGCCGAGCTACACGAGCTTGGCAGCGGTGCTGGCGCGCTACGGGCCCGGAGGCGCTCCGAAGGAGGCCTGCAGCCCTGGCGCCACGGCAGGCCACGCGAAGGACTTCCTCGACGAGGTGCTCGGCGTCCTGGACGGCAAGAGCAGCAGGTGATGGGCCTGCTTTCCACCACCACCACCAAAAATTGGAGGGGGAGGGGGTCCACCTTCTCCTCCTCCTCCTCCTCCTCCTCCTCTTCCTCCTCTTCCTCTTCCTCTTCTTCGTCCTCATCCTCCACCTCCCTCCCCCCTCCAACTGATGGTGGTGGTGGTGGAAAACAGGCCCATCAGCAGGCTCTCCGTCGCCTGAGGCTCAGGGGTGGCCTAACCGATCCCTAGCAAACCATCCCCCTCCGTGACGTCCCCCTCGCTTCGCCCCGAGATGTATGTATGCGGCCAGAGGGGAACTCGAAAGGCGAGACTCACGTCACGGAAGGGGATGCTTTGCCAGGGGTCGGTCAGGCCGCGCCCGAGAGGCCCCCTCCCATCCCCTGCTGCTCGCAGAAGGGCCCCCCGCTGATGCCCCAGAGGGGCACAGGTGTGTCAGTGGATTAGCTGCGCGTAGGCCTAGCATTTGAGCTGGCCCACCGTCTACACACCCAGAGATCCAACGCATTGAAGAAATCAAGACGCAGGTTTTTGTTTGTTTTTCGATTTTCGGCCTCTATGGAGGGGCCCTCGCCGGAGCGCGGGGCCGTCAAAAAACGACCCAGGATGGAAAACCGGTCCCGGGGAAGGGGCCGAGACTTCCAGGGGCCCCGCGCTGCCAAAAATTCGCGACGTCGGACCTCTGGGCACAGCGTCGCCCTCGCCGAGGCGTCTGTGCTCGGCCCGTCGGGCAGAGAGCTGTGCCCGCCGCGGTGCGGCTGAGAAGACCGCGGAGGATGATGATGATGATGATGATGATGAGGAGGAGGAGGAGGAGGAGGAGGAGGAGGAGGAGGAGGAGGAAGGAGGGGAGGAGGAGGAGGAGGAAAAGGAGGAGGAGGAGGAGGAGGAGGAGGAGGAGGAGGAGGAGGAGGAGGAGGAGGAGGAGGCGCGCTCCGGCGGCCGCCCCCCTCCTGCCCGGCCGCGCCGCGGGGCGCCCATGTCTGCTCGGCCTGCTGTGCTCTTGCACGCCCCGGCCGTGGGCCACGCTGAAGTCGTTGGGCGCCGCGTAATGGGGGGGTCATAAATGGGGGGGTGGCGAGCGTGGTCCGAAAAGGTACCCAAACGGTACCTAAACGAGCCCCCTGGGGCTCTGGAGGGGCCCGAAAGGGGCACGAAAGGGGACCTTTTCTGACCCCCCCATTTGTGACCCCCCCATTCAGCCACGCCCAAAGTCGGGCCTGTCCCCCTACAGGAGGAACATCCAAAAAGAGTGAAAACACCGTCGGGGGAAAATGTTGTGAGCATTTTCTGGCTACTTGCGGGCAGGTTTGGGGCATGCTTGATTTTTCGTCTAAAGGCCCCCTGGAGGAAGACATGCCCGACCTAAGGCCACGCCTGATCAGGGGTCGCCAGGATCTCGAGGTCCTGTCTGCTCAATTCCTTGGAGCCGGGCGTCTTCGCTCCATGTCGGGCCCCGGGACCCTCGCAGGTCGAGCCTGCTCGAGAAGTGGCGCAGCAAGATATGGGGTCCAGGAGTCTGGTCGTGATTTTTGGCGATGCTGCAATTGTTTTGGCAACGCTGGATCTTAGGGGCCCTGGCGCTCCCCGGTTGCAGCTTTCCCCCTGCCTCAGTCTCTGGACGCACCGTCTGTCCTGACCTCCGATCCGCCGTGCTGTGTGGGCGAGTCCGTAGAGGAGGGCGGGAAAAGCCGCCCTGCTTTTCAAGCTCACTTTGATGCTGATGTCTGCCCTACTTAGCCGTCGCTGTTTCCGCCGGAGATATATCCGCATTATTTGTCTGATGCGGGAATTTCCGCCCTGTTTCGCGCTTTCGGGGTGCATTTCTGACAATCATCGCCAAAGTACGGCGGTTCCGAAATCAGGGTGGGCCTGCACCCAGTGACTTTTTCCTTGCCGCCACAGCCGTACGGTCGGGAACTTTTGGACAGCGTGTCGTTCCGCCAGTTCTGGCCCACCGCACTTCGGCGCGACTCGCTATCCACTTCCCCGTACCCCAGCGTCCACGTCCCGAGCTTTCCCCACCATCACCCCGCAGAACGGAGCGGGCATGGCATGTCGCCGGGGCTGCCGGGGCGACACGCCATCCAACAGTTCCCAACCGCAGGCGCCATGACCCGTTCTGACAACCACTCTGCGGCGAGGGAGGGGGGGAGGGAGGGAGGAAGGGAGGGAGGGAGAGCGGGCGGGAGGTAAGGAGGGAGGAAGGGAGGGAGGGAGGGAGGGAGGGAGGGAGGGAGGGGGGAGGAGGGAGGAGGAGGAGGGAGGAGGAGGAGAGGAGGAGGAGGAGGAGGAGGAGGAGGAGGAGGCGGAGGAGGAGGAGGCCGAGGAGGCCCGCAGCAGCCCCGCCGGGTCCGGGCCGCGGCGCTCGCAGTGCCGTGCCCTCGGCTCCTGGGGCCCTTCTGCTCCGTGGCCGAGGCTCGCCGTTCAGGGGCACGGTGAGTCACCACCTCCACCAAACCACCCCAACCCACCCCGAAGGCCCCAGTTTGCCTCTATTCCTGGGCTGGGCGAAAGGGGGGGATTGGGAAAGGGGGGGTTACGAAATTTGCTGCATGCAGCTGGTTTCGGCCTCACCGAGGGGCCCATTCCTCGATACATGGCCGCCTCCGGCGCTGGGAGGCGCCGGGAAAATCAGCTACGTGAGCTGATTCTCAAACCCCCCCTTTGTTATCCCCCCCTTTCGCCCGACCCGACCATTCCCAGTGGGGGAGGGCGTCGGGGAACACTCAAAGTACACACGTGGAGCCCGCACCCGCCCCGACACGAACTGCGGGCATTCGGGTTGGGCTGGGCTGGTCTGGTATGCAGTCAGTTCGGGAGGGGGCATATCGGCTCCGGGGGGGATGCAAGGTCCAGGCGTGAGACGGCGATCGGCGCGCCCCCGTACGGCTCCTGCCGCCCGGCCCCCCGGGCGCGGTGAGGACGACCCCGCCCTCATCTCAGACTGGGACGCCGCGGGGGGGGGACGCCTCGCCAGCGCGGCGCCCGCCGTACTCCGCGGCAGGAGGGAAGGGTGGGCGGGGGAGGGGGAGGAGGAGGAGGAGGAGGAGGAGGAGGAGGAGGAGGAGGAGGAGGAGGAGGAGGAGGAGGAGGAGGAGGAGGAGGAGGAGGAGGAGGAGGAGGAGGAGAGAGGAGAGGCGTTTGGCCGAAGACGCTCTTTTCGCCCACAGGGGGCAAGCAGACCGGCCTTACCCTTTGCGCGTCGGGGGCTCGCACCGCCCCGACCGCGATCATCGGCATCCTTTCTTCACGCACAAAAGAACCAGGGTGGCACAGGCGCAGCAGGGCGCGCCGCTCGTGGTGCCGAGTGCTAGTACGGCTGGCGAGGGCCAGAGAGGTGCTTAGCGAGCACCACAGCGCCCAGCAGCAGCCACGGAGCAGAATGGCGACATGGGGACCACCGCACGCAGGCCAGTCATCATCATGGAAGTGCCCGTGCGGTGCAAGAGTCCCTTTGAGCAAATGGAATTGCAAGTGTGGCACTCATTTCAGTCAGAGGACGGGTATAACGTGGTACAAGCGGCCTCCCAGCAAGGGGCCCAAGAGCGGTACAGCAGCGACAGCGACGGCGGCACCTTCCAAGGCGGCGATCAACAGAATAGTGCAGCCCATCCGTCCGCTCACGCTCCAGGAAGCTCAGCGGCATCAGAAATGGGAGGAGCCGCCAGACGAAAGCGAGCACGCCCAGTTCAGAAATGTCGTAAGGAGGAAGATCGACGTGCTGGCGACGTCCGTGATGGCATCCATCGCTGCAGGGACCAGCGACACAGAGGCCAGGCTCGAGATCGCCATGTGGAAAGCAGCCTTGGTCTCGCTCAAGCCGCTTACGCAGCAGTTGATGGATCTACAGAATCGCCAGAATCGACACAGCGAGAGGTTGAGGAAGATTCGTATCGAGCGCTGCAAGTTAGACGAGGAGGAGATCTTGGTACAAAAGGAGATCGACGATGTATCGATGCAGATTGTCAAGGTAAAGGAGGACATCCAAGACGCCCAGGTGTACGACGCCATGGACACAGATGGTGGTGGATCGCTGCATGGTGCTGGTGGAGGGACTGCGCCAGCGCCTCCGCCGTGGCGCCAAGCCCAGCAGCAGGCAGCGCAAGGCAACCAGATGCCATTCATCCCGCAGCATTTGTGCCAGCCTATACCAGCATTGGTGCCAGCGATTATGGCTCACCAGCAGGCAATGGCAGCCAAGGGCTTGGGCGTGGGCAAGGGCGCGGCGGCGCCAGGGCGGGCTCAGATGCCGCCGCTCGGCCCCACGGCTTTGCCGGAGAAGGGCTTGGGCAAGTGCCCCGCCCCGCCTCAGCCACCGCTGAGCGGCATCCTGAACCCAGTCCAGCAGATGCAGTTCGACACCATGATGGCGACGATGGCCTCAAACAATGCCAAGATCGATCAGTTCCTGACGACATTCGCGGCGGGGTTTATAGCCCCCCAGGCTCCTGGTCGCACGCCAGGGCCACAAGGGGTTCACCACGTACCAGTGCCGCCGACCATGTCATCCACGCCAGCATCGACCTTCCCAGTCCAGACGCAGCAGGCAGGGGCTGCAGGCGCGCCGACGTCGGCTACGTCAACGGCAGCGCCACCATCAGGGGATGGGACGTCATCGAGAGCAGAGCAGTCGACAAGCGACGAGACGTCCCCCTTGCAGCCGCGGGCGCTCTTGCCGCAGTTGAGCGCACAGGAGGTCGAAGAGATACCCATGATGGGCAGCCTCACGCCCATCTCGCCGACGCAGCCAGTGACGGAAGCCACGGAGGAGATCAAGGGCCCCGGCATCTCGGTCACCGCAGACCCTACGCTTCCAGATTGGTCGAGATGGGAGGGGCATATGACGGATGCCCCAGCACCAGGAGTCCTGGCAGCAGCGGCAGCAATGCAGACAGCCGAAGCTGTGCCAGTACCAGGGGACATGCGGGCAGCATCGGCAGCCTTGCCATCCGAGACGCCCGCGAGGCCGAGGAAGTTTCAGCGAGGCGAGGATGTGATCGTCGA